ACAAATGAACAATCCAGAAGGCTTCATTCTGGGTGTTTTTGCATCAACTAACCGGCCCACATCACAGAAGTAAAAGACATGAGGCAGAGTAGAAGAGACAGATGAGACACGAAGATGAGATGTTCCAAAGACCCATCCTCGACTTTCCTGGAAGTTCATTCATCTGTCCATTTAACACGCAGACAGTGTGTGCGTCCTCTGTGCCAGCAGCTGGGGATGTTTTGTGAAGATGATAGGATTCAGTCTTGTTGGGAAAACAGCAGTAAGAACCCAGCGTGGTGGGCAACAGTGGTGGAGCTGAGGATGGGGAGTCCAGGGAGGCTGCCGCCTCGAGTGGGATGGGAACTGGGATGGGAAAGACCAGGGCCATTCTCCAGCTAATGGGAGAGGGAGAGCATCCCTGCCAGAGCCCACAGCCTGAGCCAGACCCAGGGCAGACAGAAGCCAAGCCTGAGAGTGGCCTCCATGCAGCAAGGTTCAGAGTGCAGGGGGAAACGGACAGAGAGGAGAGGGAGAGATGCCTGGGACCAGGAGCTCCCTGAAGGATGGGCTAGGAGGCCCCTAGCTAGGAGCAGTCTGCGGGGCAGGAGGCTGAGCTTCCAGTGTCTCTGAGGGAGGGGGAGATGCATCATGAGTCTTGCACAGTGGAATGACTAGTGTGTCTTACCCTACCAGTTAAACAGGAGGGCAAGAGGATAATTTTGTCCAAGCACAGGACCAGGCATGGTATCCTGGTGAGGAAAGACCTGAGACAGAAAACCAAAATGACAACAGAAGCCAAGCCAAAGCAGTTAGTCTCCCTAAATCCTTCTGTCCAGAGACAAAAGGTGTGTGGCCAAAGAATGGAAAATTAACCAGACCCAAAGCAGTTACCCTTCAAAGGCACGCCAGTGACCACAAGACTTCCCTGAGGCTCGGAGGGGATGGTTTTAAAACACACCAAAGGATACTCGATATTCCACCGATGGGGAAGGGAACACCCATGGGAACCCAGAATGATTCCAGAGATGCTAAGATTTCTGAATAGGGGAGGGGAAGTCCGTGATGCAGACATTTGGATAAATCCCTAGTTTTCCGGGACCAACATCTCAGAAGGCAGTTTCCACAGGCTTCTCAACCAGGTTTCTCATCTGAACGGCTGACACAAAAATGATGTAAGTGACTGTTTTCTCCATTGTCCCAAATAGCTAGAACCATTCTTGATGCAAAGGAGAGAATTTGATTCATCACAGCAGCAGATGCTGCCGGCCCCCGGGCTGGATTCCCGGGAGTCACATCTCATCCTGCTTGTCAAACCTCTTGATTCAGTAAATCCCTGGTTCATTCAGAAAACAAAACTCATAACTTTCGAAGCCAAAGAATCACTATGAAGAAGCTTAACGTAAATTTCCAAAATGGAAAAGAAAATATTCCATGAGCAGTGGCCTTTGAAACAGACCACGGAGGGTTAAAGCCAAGGCCTCCTCCCTCAAATCAAAGAAACCCAAATGTTCTACCTGTTTTATCTAAACAACAGCCCAATAAACAGCTTGAAATTTTATCTGGTACTTGAGAAATGTGTGGTTTATCAAAGAAACCCAAGATAAGAGGAAGGCAGAGAAACAACCATGGTCCACAAGTGGGGACTTCGGCTTCCTGGGGGCTCCGCAGCGGGTGCCTCAGGTGCCCCCAACATCGGCACCACTGGCGGGAAGCTCGTCAACTACAGCATCTTAGGCCCCACCAAAGAGAGGTTGAAGATGCAGCGAAGGATTCTGTAACCGTAACCAGTTCCCCGGCTGATCCTTATAAAGAGGCACATTTGGGAACTGCCACCGCCACTCAGTACAAATTCAGTCCAGACTCCCTTCCCGGGGCTTCAGAGGGCAGGAGCTTTTCCCAAGGATGCTGCCCAGCTCCACCTGGAGCCGGATGAAGGTCCAGAGCCACGGTGCCCAGCCTTTGTCTCATAGATGCACTACATACACACATGCACACATACATACATCAATGTGCGTGTGTGCATGTGTATACACATGTGTGCACACACAGGCATCTACAAATCTACTTCCACACAGACACAGATGTGCATGTCAGCACACATGCACACATATACACACATGTGCACACATAAACATACATACGTGTGCACACACAAATATACTTCCACACAGACACACATGCATTTCAGCACACATGCACACACATACACACATGTGCACACACATTCATCTACAAGTATACTTCCACAGACACACATGTGCTTGTCAGTACACATGCACACATGTGCACACATACAAATGCGCATGCACACCTGCCAGCACACACCATGCATGCCCAGGCACGGTTCTTCATTCCTGAGGTAGGGAAAAAGCTGGGTACCCTCATTCCCAAGGTAGGGAAAAAGCTGGGCAAGTTCTGGCAAAACCAGCGGCCTCCTCACCAGCTTCCTGCCAGGCCAGGGGAGGAGCCTCTGGTTCCACGCTGCTTTGGTGATGAGCCAGCAGCCCCTTCCCGCTCATTCAGAGGAATGAGCCCACACCTCACACAAGGCTGGGAGCTCAGGTGGGCTTCCACACGTGCCCAGGATGAACTTCATCTGCTGCTCTGGCTCTTCAGGGCCTGATGAGCACGGGAGGACTGACTGGGGACCACGGGGAGTGGGCAGCAGGGGGCAGTGGGGTCAATGTCTCTCAGAATATCCCTGTCCCCGTCCACAGCAGTGCAGGCCCCACTGATGTGTCCACCTCTTGGCTGGGCAGCGGGGGCATGCGGCTTATGGACACCTTGGAGAACTTCAAGGATCACCCCGTCTCTGTCCCTTTGGTTTCCTGAATGAGGCAGGCAGCGCACCCTGCACACAGCTGTCTGCCTGGAGCCCACGCCTCACCTTCCCACATGGCCCCGACGGAGGAGCAAGCTGAGCTGGAGGTTACACCCAAAGCTTTGGAGGCCCTCAAGAGGCCTCGCCCCTCCTGGGCGTCCCTAATCCAGGGAAGACAGGTGAGCCCATGCAGCCAGCCCGGGCCCCCACCCCACCGTACCGCCCACTTCCTGATGTGCCGGGAGCTGTTTGGGCCCCAAGGAGGAGGAGGAGCTCCTTGAAAACAGTGGTTATGGCTCCTGTCACCTGCTACGTCGGACTTTGGACAAGTTATGTATGCCTGGCACCCCACCTGTCTGCCAGACGCTCACATCTGTCACACAGTCCCTGAACGTGGAACCAGAGCTGAGAGGGAGGGACCACTGGCCATGTGGGCTGCCTACAGCCCCTCAAAGCCCTCAGCACCCGGGGTGTTTCCAAGCAAAGCCACAATCGCAGTTGGAAGTTATGCTCTGCCTAGCCCATCGCATCATCCCTGCAGGGGCTGCCCCCTCCTCAGCCAACTTAAGGCAGGCTGGCACCTCCCTCCAAGGCTCCCCATTCAAGGACACTGCTTCCTGAGCAGGACAGGACCTGCTCATCCCAATCCCTAGGAGGGGTAGGGGGAGGATAGGGCTGCCCAGCTTGCAGGTGCCTGAAAGGGGCTGAGGCTCCTCAAAGCTAGCACTGACCCTCCAGATGAGCCTCCCCCCTCACTGCCTCCTTGAGTGCAGAGGTGTGGGTGATGAGGGGACCAGAGGCTCACAGAGAGCCCAGCCGATGGCTCCTCCGTCAGCCCCTGTGCACTGCCGAGCACATCATGGGTGGGTGCAGATCATGAAGCTTGGCCTCAGTGAGGCATTCCCCGCCTACCAGGGAAGGCAAGCCTGTCCCACAGGTGTGGACACAGGGTTTTGAGGGCGGCCTCCCCTCCCCACCCCGCCCATGTGGTCCTGGACACTGCGCATTTGTTTTCACTCTAGCCCTGGAGAAAGGAGACCTGGACCCAGCCAAAGACCACCGTCCCCAGGCCCCGGGGCGGCCCCACCCTTCCATGAGATCCTCTGTGCCCACACTGCCAGGGAGAAGCTCTGCCCCTTCACACAAGACTCCAGCTCCACCCCAGCGACAGGGCTCCTGACACTGCGGAGAAAGCCGGGCCTGCCGCTCGCGGAGCAAGTTCGGATACAGCTCTGCGTGAAGCTGGATGGGCCTCGACTCTGGGTAGTAACTGGGCCCCATCACCCACATCGCCATGTGCCTGGGGGGGTGTTTTTTTTTTTCATTCTTTCTCTTTCTTTCTTCCTCCCTCCCTCCCTTCCTTCCTTTCTCTTTCTTTCCTCCATGTATTTCTTTAATTTTACGCAAGTGACTTTGACCCTTTCAACTGAAAAACTCCCAGCCAATCCTTGCATGCAAGAGCCGGCCCTCATTCCCGGAACGCCCAGTGCTGACGCGGGGCAGGCCTGACGCTGGCTCCATCTGGAATTCAGAGAAGCTGGAGGTCAGAGTGAGCCCGCAGCTCTGCTCCCAGCTCTGCCCCTCCCTGGACCTCAGCTCACCCCAGGCCTGAGCTGAGTTTAGAATCCTGTAGCCTGTCTGAGATTCAGCAACTCAAGTCCCCCAACACACACACTCACAGATGCAGAGTCCCAGGCACAGAGACACACACACATACACACAAAGAGACACACCAACACACACATAGACACACACAGGAACAGATACACAAACTGAGAAAGAGACGTATGTACACAAACACACACACAGAGACACACACAGAAATACACACAGACATACATAGGCACAGAGACACACAGATACACAGAAAAAGATACACACAAACACACAGGAACACAGAGACAATACACAGATACACGCAGGGATGACACACAGAGACACATGCATCTGTGACACGCTGAAGACTCAGCCAGGGCCGTCCGCCACCCAGCACAGCCCCGTCCTGCCAGCCTGACTGGACAGGGCCCCTGAGGCCATCGCAGGCACAGAGCAAGTTTGCACAGGGAAACCCACGTTCCCTCCCAACGCTGGCTGCAGCATCCCAGGCAAAGACTTCCCAGGCTGAAGGGGGCTCCGTGCAGGAGGAGGGGCCCCCCGCACCACACCCCATGCCCCACTTTCCTCCCTCTCTTCCCACCTGCCACCTCCGGCTCCACAGCAGGGAGTTCTGGTAACAGCTACACATTCGGGCAGAGACCCACAAAAAGACTCACACACGTGTGTGTGCTCCAAGTAAGAAGTAAAACCCCACTGCCATCGCCATGGCAACCCCACTCGGAGCTGCGGCAAGAGCTTTAATTGGCAGGGCTTATTTGGCTGAAACCCCAGGAATAATCAACAGGAGATTAGAAACATTAAAAACCAGCAGGAGCATCCTGGAGAAGTCGATGACAGAAAGGACGGTCCCCTGAAAACTCTATTGATGACAGTCATGACAATGGTGTGGTTTACCACATGACCGCATCGCACCGGCCTGGGCCATGTTCTTTGCAGGCATCATTTCACGGGACCCTTCCAGCAGCCCTTTGATCATTTCTCCCATTTTACAGATGGAAAGTTCTCTGAGGCCCAGAGAGGTTAGGGAAGTGGCCCAAGGACACACAGGATTCAAAACCTGCTTCTAATTACTCCAAAGGCCACCCTGGTCATGAGCACTGTGCTGGGCCTGGGGTCCCCCAGGAGGCCCCATCCTCAGCTCCCAGGACCCCTGTAGCTCCTCCAAGGCAGCCGACACCCCTAGCCCCCAAGCAGCTAAAGACCACAGCTCAGCCAGCCAGAGGGCCTGGCCAGGGTTGACCTCCAAGACACCAGCCAACACCTGCATCCCTGTTGCGGATGGCTTCACCCCTCAGACAGGTCCCTGCCACTGCCCTGGCCACAGCGTCCATCCTGCACCCCGCCATGGCCCTGCTGACCCCTGGTGGTAACCATGGGGCATGACACCAAGATGTGGACTGAACTAGACCCTAAGGTGGAAGGCACTGGTCCAGGAGCTCCAGTGCTTGGGAGAGCCCCCTGCCAAGGGTTCTGAAGGTGCCAGGGCCAGGCAGGGAGAGCAGCGTGGCCAGCACCCAGCACCTTTTGCAGGCCTTCAGGAGGGAAGAGCCAGGCTCTGGAAAGGGCTGTCCTGTAGGTGCTCCCTTTTGTGCTGAGGCAACAGCTGACGGAGAGGCCAGTGAGCACCGGGGATCCTCTGAACAGCAGTGCTGCCATGTCCATGAGCAAGTGGCTGAGGTCTCCAGTCCTGGCCAGAGTCCAGCCAATTGGCACTGAAGACAAGGGACGTTGGTCCAGGCTGGGCCCCTGGCCAGGCCTTAGGTGTGGAAGCACTCCGCCATCCCATCCACAGCCCCCAAGCCATGGATGGCAGCACCTGGACCCTGGATCCCAAGCCCCGGTCTGAATCACAAAGTCAGGGCTGGTGCTGTCTGAGCTCGGCTCCCTGGGAGCCAACATCGCACCAAGTGCCAGGACCTCCGGCCAGGACCTCTGGCTTTGACTGCTGCCTGATTTCTGGGAGCAAACGGACATCAGCGGGACCTGCAGCCGCTGATGAGCTGCTGTCAGATGGGCACGGGGCGGAGCCCACCACGATGGCGGCCGCAAGTGGGCGTCCCAGGCTTCCTAGACGTGATCCACTGAACAGTTTAAATTGCTTTTTTTTAAAGCACCTGGCATTTACTCAGTTAGCATCGTATTAAACTTCCCCCTCTTGAGCTCCTCACATATGCCAGTCACCATTATTCCTACTAAGTTGAAACAGGGAGGGCAGCAGTGTGCAATGCAACCCACCTTCCCTGGGAAGTCGGAGCACAGAGGTGGCGTGAGGGCCGCACCTGCAAAGCTGTGGCTCAGGAGCACCAGGTGCGGCAACCGGCTTGCTCCTCTGCCTCCCTGAGCCGCAGCCCAGACCTAAGCCAGCAGAGGAGCTCCGGGGTGGATCGGCACACAGCTCACCAGGGCCGCGCTGCCCACCTGGTGCCGGGGCTGAGCAGTTCCAGTGTAGGGCCCCGGTCCCTGCTGGAGGGAGCCGTGGGTCATGGTCTTCCACAGGCTCACATCAGCAGGGAACTCTGGGGAGACCAGAGACAGCTGAGGACGCCACTCCCTGACCCAGACGCGAGGAGCCAGGGCCGCCCCTGCCACAGGCCTGCCTTTAGGAAGCAGCACTCAGTGACGCGGGGAATTGGGTGGGGACCAAGGACTCCCTCTGCCCCTTCTCACATCCCTAACAGAGAAGTCAGGGTGGCCTGACACAGCCCAAGAGGAGGTGGCTGTCCCCTCTCACTGGCCTGTGTGCAATCCAGGTGGCAGGGGGGACAGGGAAAGAAGAACCAAAGGCTCTGGGGCTCAGAAAGCTTCAAGCCTCTAAGCAGGCCTCGAAGTCCCAATGCAGAGCCCCTTCCCAAATGAGTGCGGAGAAAGCTGTGCAGTAGACTGATAGGACGGGAGGAAGGAGGGGGAGGAGAGAGGGAGGGAGGAAGGGAGGGAAGGTGGGAGGAGGGAGGAAGGAGGAAAAGAGGAGGAAAGAGAGGGAGGAAGAAGAGGGAGGGAGGAAGGGAGAGAGAGAAGAGAGGAGGGAGAAGGAAGTGGAGGACGAAGGAAGGGAGAAAGAGCAGGGAGGGAGGGAAGGAAGGAAGAAGGAGGGAAGGAGGGAGAGAGAAAGGAGAAGGAAGAGGGAGGGAGGAGAGAAGGAAGAGGGAGGGAGGAAAGGAGGAGATAAGGAGAAAGGAAGAGAGGGAGGAGGGAGAGTGGAGGGAGGGAGGGAGGGAGGAAGGGAGAGAGCGAGAGGGAGCAGGGAGAGAGGGAAGAGGGAAGCAAATGGACATTGGAGTCAGAAGAGCCTGGAGTGAACCTCGCCCTGCCATGTCTGAGTTGTGCCACTTTGGGCAAGCTCCTTACCTCTGGCCTCCCTTTCCCTGCCTGTTTAATGGGCTCGGTAATGCTCTTCCCTGGCAGGGCTGATGGGGAACTGAGGGGGGCTGTGTGACGTGAAGTGCTCAGCACACCGCCCGGCTCAGCGCTCGGCAGTTATTCCCCTCCTGCTCTGTGGCCATTCAGGCATGCCCTGCCCAGGTGACCCGTGCTCAGAGAGTGAGGCCAGGGCGAGGCTGGGGCGAGGACAGGAGCAAGGACAGGGGCGCACTTCCTTCTCCACCTGGGCTTGGCCTGGTCTCGGCCTGACCCCATGGCCCCTTGATTTCTGCTTCACTGAGGGAGGTGACTGCTCCGTGGTCCCCACTGGCTGGCCAGGCTCTCCTTCTGCCAGCTCCTTCCTCCAGACTTGGGGATCCTTTTGCTCACCCTGGAGGATGCTGGGGCTCTCTGAACGGAGACAGCTTCCCAGGGCCCGGGAAGCTCGAAGGTCTCCTGGCAGGTTTTCCCCATAGAGCTTGAGTGATATGTGTGCCACCAGAGGTCCCATGACCCTCGGAGTCATCAGGCACGGGTGGGCTGGAAGGGCCCTTGTGAGGCTCCCAGTGCCTGGGGGCCAGGGCAGCTCCTCTGCAGTAGCCCTCAGGGCAGCCTGGGCCAGGACCGCAGGGAGGCTGCCCTGTGTGCAGAACCATACCGGAGACTTCTATGTCCGTTGCTAAAGCAGCACAGCCCTAAGAATGGGGGATGGAGGAAGCCACATGACCAAACCCACCACTGCTCCCACTGGGCGTCTCTGATGGGCAGCCTCAGGGCGGTCATCCCAGGCTGCCAGGAAATCCCTGGGGATGTGGAGAGGCCAGACCGTGTTTGAAGGACCCCAGAACCCTGAGGGAGAGTCCTCAGTGTCCTGGAGAGCCAAGGGCCAGGGCCAGAACCACTCATGCTAGGGAGAGCTCCTGTGCACGCTCCAGACAAGGGGGGCCTCCCCTGCAGACAGCCCGGGCTCACGTGCTAGTCCCCAGGTGGCAAGTCTTCCAAATGCAGCAAAGTTCTCTGAGTGGCCAGAAAGTCCCCGACAGCTCAACACCAAGGAGCCCAGGACTGCGCTTCTCCATCTCAACACCCTCGAGACAGAGACAGACAGGGATGGAGAGGCACAGAGACACAGAGAAAGAGGGAGAGGTGGAAAAAGACAGAGATAGAGAGAAAGAGACACAGAGGAGCTCTGGACCCCGAGGACTGTTTGCCCCTCAAGGTGGACGCACAGCTCCCATGGGGCATGGGACCGAGTGGGAGTCTCCGGGCTCTGTCCGTAGCACGATGGCTGATCCCCCAGGCCCTTGGTTCTGTCAGGTTCCTACGGACAGAGGCCTGGGCCAGGCCCATCCTCCAAGAGCCACGCTCTCCAGCAGTGGACTTTGTCCTCTCCACTCCAGCAGTGCCCGGCTCAGCCCAGCAAGACTCCCAGCTGCAGCGTGGACAGAGACAGCAGCCGCAGCTCACAGAGGGCTGCGGCCACCTCGCGCCGTCCTCCAGGAAGCGCACGTGAGACAGCAGCACTGGGATTGGACCAACCTGACTCACAGATGAGAACACGAACGCCACTGGGAATTCAAACCCCTGCCCAGCCCTGCACCCTCGGGAGCGGCTGCCCCATGGTGCAAACTCAGGCCCACCTCAGCTCAGCATCTCTGGTCTTTGCCATGAGATGGGCCTCGGCGCACCCCGTCCTGCAGGCTGGCCTGTCCGCCAGCGAAACCAGTCACTGGCAGACGCTTCTGGGCCTGGGATGGGTGCTGCCAGGAGGGAAGGCAAGGCCTCCAGCAGGAACGGGGCTGCCATGGCACCGGGACTGGGGACAGGGTTCCAGCGGCCTCATCTGTAAGACAGGGGCCAGTCCCCCCACCAACCATGGTGACCTGGGCCTCTGCCACAGCAACCGACAGCTGTCAAGCCTGGCACAAACACCACACTGGTGGGGACGCTACAGGCCCAGGAGCTCCCGACTCCGTGGGAGGAAAGAGTGGGCCCCGAAGAGCCCATCACGGTGCCCGCCCCTCAGGACACAGTCTCATGGCTCACTCAGCTCAAGGTGTGGCAGCCGCATCTAACAACATTCCATGGGTGTTTATTGAGCACCTGCAATATGCCAGGCGCACACGCCAGAGGGAGCCATGACTACCACCGTCTAGATCCCTGCCTTCCGGGGGCTCCTGGCCGTGGAGGAGACGCACAGTGAAGAGGAGAGGAAGGGACGGGGAGACCCACCCCACGGAGGGTCCAGTGCAGCTCTCAGTACATGGAGAGACAGAGAGGTGGGAGACAGAGAGACAGATAGACAGAGACAGATGGGGCAACACAAAGAGACAGAGACAGACAGAGAGACAGAGATGGAGAGACAGAGAAAAGGACAGAGACAAAGGGAGATAAAGAGAGACAGAGAGATACAAAGACAGGGAGACACAGAGAAACACAGAGATGAGACACTCTCTCCCTCTGTGTGTATGTTTCTGGAGAGACATATACAGAGAAAAACAGGAAGACGCAGAGAAACAGAGACAGAGAGATACAGAGACAGACACAGAGGGATAGACAGAGACAAAGAGACAAAGGGAGAGACAGACACAGAGAGAGGAGAGATAGAGACAGAGACAGAGATGGAGAGACAGAGACACAGAGAAAACAGGGAGATGGAAAAAGACAGAGATAGAGAGATAAACAGAGATGCAGAGATAGTAAGGTAGAGACAGAGAGACTGATAGACACAGATGATAGAAACAGACAGAGAGAGATACAGAAATGGGGAGACAGAGATGGAGATAGAGACAATGAGAAAGAGAGAAAGAGATGGAGAGACAGAGACAGAGAGAGATTCACAGAAGAGGGCCCAGTTCAGGATGGGCAGTGGGGGTCTGGTGGGGCCTGCACCGGCAGCCTCTCTGCATCCACCACAGCCTGCGGCTAACCGCTGCTTGGGCCTGGCCTCTGGGGACAGCCCTTCACTTTCTGGGGTGTGGCTACCCCCAGGTCCTGGCGAACCTTGCCCTCCAGCCACGCATCCCAGCTCTTGTGGCCTCTGCGTTACAGGCTATC